ATTCAGCAAAAGGAAATATCATCGTGGCCATCCTGTTGAGAAGCAGTGGGTATTTGGAGGTGTGGAAAGAGGGTCTGGGAGATTATTTTTAGTAGTTGTGCATGATAGAAGTAAGTAAACGCTAATGCAGTGTATTAAAGAGTGGATTGAGCCTGGTACAACTATTTTTTCCGATGGCTGGAAATCCTACAAGGATTTGAGAAAAGAAGGTTTTGAGCATTTATTTGTGAACCATAGTTTAAATTTTGTGGATAGCGAGTCTGGCTGTCATATAAATAGTATGGAAAGTACGTGGTGCCATGTGAAAGCTTCGTTACCTACTTATAATAGAAAATGTGATTTTGAATTTTATTTGGCTGTGTACCGTTACTGTCATGAAATTAAAGAATATGCTTTTAATAAATTTCTAGAAATTGTAAGATGTATTGAATGGGAAAAATTAAAAATTTCTTTGTAGTTTATTTGCAAAAAGTGTTTGTGTTTTTTGTTTTTGTGAAGTTTGAAATTCATATTTCTGCTTTTAAAAGAAGCTTTCATTATGGTAAGTGCATTTCATTTTACTGTTTTTATTTTGTAGAATGTTATATTCATTGTTTTTTGTATGAATTTCCGTTTCTGTTGTTGTTTTTTGAATAGTCTGAAATTTATTTTCTTGATTTGTTTTTAGTGTAGATTGTGCAATTCGTAGATGTTTTTTAAAGTTGAAACAGAACGCTGTGTATAGGTATTTATTCTTTGAAATTTATTGTTGTTATGTTAATTTATTAAAGCGAGGTGTGCGTAGTTCGTAAATTCGTTTATTGCCTACAGTGTGCAATTCGTAGATTTTTTTTTTTTTTTTAAAGTTTAAACAGGATACTGTGTACATGGTATTCTTTGAAATTTATTGTTGTTATGTTAATTTATTAAAGGGAGGTGTGCTTAGTTTCGTAGATTCGTTCGTTGCCTACATTGTGCAATTTGTAGATTTATTTTTAAAAGTTTTAACTGGATAATGTGTACATGGAATTCATTGAAATGTATTGTCATTATGTTAATTTATTAAAGCGAAGTGTAAAGTTTGTAGATTTGTTTGTTGCCTAGATTGTGCAATTTGTAGATTTTTTTTAAGTTAAAAAATATCGCTGTGTACATGGATTCTCGTCAGAATATTTTTGGTTAGAAACTGTTACGTTTTGCTATCTAAATTTTTTGTTTTTGTTTCGGATTTTTAGCTTAAATCGTGTGTTCAAAACGTAGTTTTTGCATGTGCGAAAACCGCGTTTTTGGAGACATTTTAAGCTTAAAGTTCGAAATGTAGACAAAAAATTTAGATAGTAATATGGCCGCGTGAAGTTTCTCGTCAAAAATATTTGGCGACTTGAGGGCGCATATCAGAGTAGTTCCGTCTTAACTATCAAATTTTGCTTTTTTAAATGTTTCCTAACACGAAAGTAACTTTAAGAAAAACATGCAATTTATCCCTTCTGCCATCAAAGCTCCGATACCTACAAAATTTGTTTAAGTTACGTGGACAAAAATTGTGGCAGTTTTTCAGCTCAGTATTTAGGGTTATCATAAATAACAAGATTATCATAATTTTTCATTTATCGCACCCAAATGTCACGAAAAAGGACTAATACTAAAGCCGTGCCAAAAAATTTGGTAAATGTGCTGCACCATTAGTTCAGATACTAAACGAATTGCCAAATAAAATATAAAACTTGGGTACAACTCTGATATATGCCCTAATTTCACCAACTGTGGCAATATGTGTTCTGCACTGGTTTTTGGCACGATTGTATGTTCTATGGCAACCCTGTTGAGGTTGAAAAATCTTTCGCTGGAGCTCGTTGATTCGCGTCTGTGTCTGAGAAGATGGGAGGAAAAGATAAAATGGTGGAAGTTGTTGAATTGAAGTTCGGCAAAAGGAAATATCATTGTGGTCATCCTGTTGAAGGGTAGTGGGTATTTGGAGGTGTGGAAAGAGGGTCTGGGAGATTATTTTTAATGGCTGTGCATGATAGAAGTAGGGATTTGTGATTTTATTTATTTGTGAACCATAGTATGAATTTTCTGGAGTGTGTCTGGCTGTCATGTAAATACGATAGTGATTACGTGGCGGCATGTTAAAGGCAGTACGAAATTGGTATTTCTGCTGTTCGAAAAAGCATTAATTCATGGTAAGTGCATTTTATTCTTGTTCTTATTTTGTAGAATGTTATGTTCATTGGTTCTTTAGTATGAATTTCTGTTGTTATTGTTGTTTTTGAAACAAAACGCTGTGTACATGGTATTATTTGAAATTTATTGTTGTTATGTTATTTTATTAAAGCGAGGTGTGCGTAGATCGTAGATTCGTTCGTTGCCTAAATTGTACAATTCGTAGATTTTTTTTAAAGTTTAAACAGGATGCTGTGTACATGGTATTCTGTTAAATTTATTGTTGTTATGTTAATTTATTAAAACGAGGTATGCGTAGCTTGTTCGTTGCCTACATTGTGCCATTCGTAAATGTTTTTTTAAGTTAAAACATGTCGCTGTGTACATGGATTTTTTGTCAAATATTTTTGGTTAGAATCTTTACGTTTTTGCTATCTAAATTTTTTGTTTTTGTTTTGGATTTTTAGCTTAAATCGTGTGTTCAAAACGCAGTTTTTGCATGTGCGAAAACCGCGTTTTTGGGGACATTTTAAGCTTAAAGTTCGAAATGTAAACAAAAAATTTAGATAGTAATATGGCAATGTGAAGTTTCTTTCCAAAAATGTTTGCCAAGAAATTTAGCGATTTGAGAGTGCATATCGGAGTAGTTCCAAAACTTGCCATTTGAATTATATTTCGGCAATTTATTTACAAGTCTTCCACTGCTAAATTAAAAGACCATGGATATAAGGGAACAGGAATGATACGAGAAAATACCAAAAGAATGATTTTTACAAAGTTCAAAAGAAATGAAAAAAATGAATCATGGTTCATGTACATTTCAAGCAAGAACAAGACATTACTTGATGGGTAGACAATTCTGTAGTTACTGATGCATCAACAAATGCTCGAATTGAGCCAGTAACACAAGTCTCAAAGTACTAGAAAACTAAAAGGGAAAATATCACAGTAAAGAGACCAGCTTTGATTTCAGAATATAATAAATATGTGGGCTTAATCCTAGTATACGGTGCACATGAGAGTTGGCGAAATTCGGGTTTAAGAGACTAGTAAGCGCACCAATTGTGGTAACCAAGCTGATTTGGTTACTCTGAAGGAGAGTGTATTTGGGAACATTTTCGCGCATGCTCATTAAATACTTTAAATTGAGAAGTTTTGATTGGTGCAGATGGAAGAGAAGAATTATTTCAAACCATTGATTGAAGTTTCGTTAATCTTCGGCTGAACTGAATGAGAAAGGATAATGTATGTTCAGGTAAAATTTATTTATCTTTTATTTTTGGTATTTTTTATAGTAACAGTAGTGGTTTTGCCAAGTTTCTGATTGGTTAATATTTTTTAATTAATCGGTTTTTGGTCAGATACTGAATATGATTTTAGTTTGATAACGTTTTTTATTCTACAGTTGGATAACGTTAATTTTCGGTTATGATGTGCAGTGCTATGAATTGCGAGTATTTAAACACGAAATTTTTTTGGAAGTTAGAACTGGAAGGAAAGCTTGTTGTGATTCAATGGGCAGTAGATGCCGGATTGCTGCTGAATTTTAAAAATCGTGCCATGGCCGCACCGTATACTAGGATTTGGAAGGAACGTGGAGTGCTGTTAAGCGTGGGATAAAGGAGACGAAAAAGGTAAGCGAAGAGTTTGACTCTTATTTGGTGGAATATATGTGGCGGCGCCTGAAAAATAATAAATCGTCATCCGAAAAAATGAAAGACTTTATATTTTATATTAAAAGATTTTTTTCTTTATATTAAAGACTTTATATTTGCAATAAAAGCAATATATCCGCCCCCCGAGTTTGAAGGCTTTGGCATTTGAGTTATGATATAGACCCTAAAACATATGTGACACTGAGCCATGGTATTTAATTTATTATATTTGATATGTGAATGTTTTGTATTTGTTGCGATGCATGTTGAAAATTATATTTTTATTTGTTATAAAGTCTGTTAAAAATTATTTTCAATTTATAAATGTTTGCTTTTTTTTTTCTTGTGTCTCACCGTATGCTTAGGATTTATTATCTTATGATTATCATTTTGTTTACTTTTTTTGCCAACTCAAACTTGTGGTGACGCTTTACTTTGAGGTTGCCAAAAATTTGGCGACAAACGTAAATGCATCATTTTGGTGTTGGCGAAAGAGAGAATGGATGAAAATCTCTCACAAATTCAGCAACATGAAAGAAATGGTGGTGATCAATATGTACTTGGCTCATTGATGTATTTAGTATGCATAGTTTCTTATAAGAAAGTCTGGAGAAGGCACAACACAAAGATTCCATTGCATGCATATTATGCAAATATCAAGCACAAAAAACAAGATAGTTTCTTTTTTTAAATTTATATCAATACTTCTCCACAAGAATCGCCAGAAACACCAAAGCAAACTTATTAACAGGTTACAAAGCCAATAATGGTTATTCTCAGTTAGAAATCAACATGCAAACATTGTAACAGCTATCAAACTGATGTTTCAACTTCTGGTATGAGATCAACACTTCTCTATATTCATATAATAAAACGTTTTCATTACTATAAAAGCACATGCACTTTGAATCATTATAAATTAAATGACAGGAATTATCCTGGAATCAGATTAATTTCTGGTTAATCAGCACCCTTTTTGATGCGAATCCTAAAACTTTAACAGGCAATGAACATTACCTATTACTAAAAAATTACACAATGCAGCACTTAGATTACTATAATATCTTAACAATAAACATAAAATATCAGAAAGTATAATGATGAAGCATATGGAATTAATAAGCACATGGGGCAGTATGCACCGAAAGATGTTAAACTTGTGATCTTAAAAGATAAATATTAAAATGTGAAGAAAGTAGTTACATCATCTGCGTATTCATCCGGATAATCCATCATCACACACGAAAACTTAATCCAATTTCAATGCTAACACAATTTCGGAGACACACTTCACCGTCACGTAAAGCAATTTCACCGCTGATACACTGTTGCCATAGCACAAAACGTACAACTTCAATATTTATAAAAACCATATTCTAGAATATTTTAAAACACTATTTTTATGAAATGGCCATTAGAAATAATAAAAAATGTTTAGATTAAAACATTTTTGATTTTTTCGGACATGACTAGAGGATGCTAAAGTGATATATGAGTACGGTAAATAATATACAGTAGAACCTTGCTTAACGCGGGAGTAATGTTCCATCAAAGTAGAGTGTTATACGAAAGAGCGTTAAACGAGTGTGGCGACATCACTTAATAATCATAATATTCATTCATAATGAAGCGCCATCTGTGAAACAATTTTTATGCAATTTTCTTATCGCCAGAGTGGTAACAGTAAACCTCCGACAAGAAAAGAACAATGACTGATTTTCTGTTTGCATTGTTCTATATTAAAAAAAAAATGTAAATAAATATTAATCTTCTTAGAGTCAGAACGGCGTTTAAAATTTCCTATGTTCCAGACTTCCACACTGGTTTATCTAATTCAACTTATGAAGTGTAAGATGGAAAAAGAATGTACGATGTTTCTGTAATATAACGAGATGTCATTGACATTATACGCACTTAAATAGTCACCTTAAAATAGTCACCTTTATCGAATAAATAGTCACCTTTTATTGAATATATGTTAAAGACAGCGTCGTAAGCAGCTACGTACCCATTTTAAAGTTCCGAAGTTGTTGTTTTTTTCCCCCTAAGTTCGACAGTGGATTGAGTGATAGTTTCGATTTCGAAGTGCTTCTGGTGCGCATGGATTGCATCAAAGAATTGACGAGTTCGATTGATTTTTATGCGTCTGTGAAAAATAAATTCCGAGCGTACGTGGGACTGAAATACTTCTGAAATGGTAAGTCAAGTTTAAATATTTAAAGAAAATTAGAACGAGTTAGAGAAGGCCTTAAATCATTTTAAGAAGGAATTAAAGTGAATGGCATTGTTCTCATCGGAAATGATAATAAGAAACGGATAGACTGAATGGGTGGCCTTGGTCGAACTGATTATTTTCTTTGTATTGTCGTCAGAGGGCGTTGCTGATAATAATCATCCCTTACACTGTTAATATATTGAATCGGAAGGGACATACGCGAATGTAAAATTTATAATTAGGGGAAAAAAGCAGCCTTAGATTTAAATTTTGAATAAAACTATCGATTTCAAGGGGAAATCAAGCATAAGTTCTTCTTCAGCAGTAAAAAAAAAGAGAGAAAAAAAAGAATTGCACGTATGTTCAAAACTACAGTTCGACAGTGGATCGAGTAATAGTTTCGATTTCGAAGTGCTTCTGGTGTACATGGATTACATCAAGAATTGATGGTTGATTATTTTTTATGCGTCTGTGAAAAATAAATTCCGAGCGTACATTTAACGCTCGAGTTAACAGTTAACGCGGAGTTTAGATTAACAGTCTAAGGTTTTTTTGGGGGGGTTGCCTAACTTTAAAAAGCTTTTATAATAGATATCTTGTCCCAGTTAGCATGTGGACGACGGAAAGATTATGAATAAAGGCACAGAGGGGAAAAAATCTGAAACTTTTAATAAAACATATTAAAATAGTTGCGCATATATTTTATTTAAAAATTAAGGAATAAGTATAGTTAACTTTTTAAACGCTTAATGTAAAATGTATACAATAGTAAGATCGATTTTTCCAAACTATAGCTATCTTCCACTCATATTTCCTTTTAAAGCATTTTCTTCAAATTTAAACCGACAGTTCCTTTGCTGTGAATTGCGTTTTCGCGGTCAGTGTCAGCATGACTAACATGTCAATGTCAGTATGACATGTGATTCAGGACTTAAAAGAAAAATGCTAGTTCATAGGCACTTTTCTTTTAAGTCCTGAGTCACATGCGCCCAGGTAAAATTCAAATTCAGTATATATATATATATCAAAATGTCATGGATCATCAGATAGGTAAACTTCCACATAAATTAAAAAGTAAAAATGTTCAAAATTAAAAAAAAAAAAACATTTATTGAATATAAATTTACATCACCGAATATGAATACATGAATTTACATATTTCTAAGTTTTTTTTCTGTAAATTCTTCTAAAATTGTTTGAAAATATAATTTCCTCGCGTCTTCACTTTCGATCGACATAACTGCTAAACTATTTAATCTATCCTGTTTCATTGGCGATCTCAGGTAGTTTTTTTATTAGTTTTAGCCTGGAAAATGATCCCTCTCCAGAAGCAACGCTTACTGGAACTGTTGAGAATATTCGGAGAGCAATAAACAAGTTTGGAAATACCGTTGCTCTATCATTATCCGATAAAAAATTGAACATTTTAAACGGATTTTCAAAAAATCCTGAAGGAAAAATAGATTTCAAAGCTTCCATTTCTTCAACTAACATTTTTCCGTCTATATCAGCTTCTTTCACCTTTGGTACATAATTTTCTGTTAACTTTGAATCTGTTAGATAAATTTCTAATTCAATTGCATGTTTTTGAAGTACTTCTTTTTCCATATTTTCCCTTTTTGATGGTAACGCGGTGCCCTTTCAAATGCGGGGCCCGATTGCCCTTTATCCGGCCCTGCATGCACTCTTCTAAGAGCAATAGCACTTCACCCCTTGCACATGGTTCTAAAAAAAGATTGTACAGAATAGTGGCCTAGTAGTGAGTATTCTGCCTAAACTATGAAGGATAATTACAGCACTCCAGACATCTTCGATTTTACACCGGAGCTTATGTAGACGTACATAAAAGTGCTGTCATCACACCTTTTGGTCTCTTTGAAAGTATCACAACGCATGTGGCCTGTACAACGCTGCATTCCAAAGATTTATCAATGAAGTCCCTCCTAACCTTTCTTCTGTGTTTATCGATAATATCTTGATAGTATCAAAATCTGCAGAAGAACATTATGAACATCTAAAAATTTTATTCATCCGCTTTCAATCGATGGCGTACCTAGGGTGGGGTATCTGTCTCCGGGTGCAGCATCCGGGGGCGCCAAACTGATGTTACGAAAGTTTGAAATGAAATCATTTCCATTCTTGGCACTTAGAAGCGGACTCAAAATCTCGGGGCCCTCAAAACCCTAGCTACAGATATGCTTTCCATCATTTGGATTAAGTCTTAGTGTTTTAAAATGCAGATTTAGTACTTTCACCATTGAAATTTTAGGTTTCTATAGGAGTTAGGGTCTATAGGTTTAATTTTTATAGATGGTTTTGCTTAAGGATATGTATATTCTAGCACACTTAAATAAATTTTTAGAAGAAACAGATATTTAAAAAAAATAATAAAGGTATAATTTAAAAATGAAACAGCAACATATACTTCAGTGGACAGAGGCAGCTGAGAGGTATTTATAAAAGCCAATATGCTGTAATTACTGCAACACTTGTTTGTCATCCTATTCCAAATACTATCCCAAATTTGAGTCCTATTGCAATAATGCACGTTGTTGATGAACGAGATGTTTCTGTAGGTTGTTTATCTATGCCCCCCCCCAATTAAACCAAAATGAATGGGAACAAGCTAAATTTTTTTCTTTGAAATGATCAAAAAGCCAAACCAAGTGGTTTACATGTGATTGTGAAATTTTCGCTGTTCATACAGCAGTGGAAAAAATTTTGTTCGCATGTTAGAAGACCTTATTTCACAGTATACACCTGGGCTTAATTTCTAAAATCTGAAGTGCCGAAGCCCTGTAGAAGACCGTCAGCAAAGAGGAACAAAAGTAAATAAATAAATAAAATGACTATTAAAATCATTAATAATTAAAAAATTAAATATTCACTTATTTAATTAATTTTAATAATTAATATTTGCCAATTATTTTAATTAAATAAAATTAATTATTTTTATTAAAATAGTTAAATAATTAAAGCTAAACGTAATTAAATAATTAAATTTAAATTAAATAAAAATGTAAAGAGATAAATTACAATTTAATAAGCGATTTGTAATATAATTTTATTGCAAAAAATAAAATTTTCGAAATTAAATTTCTACTGAAATTGTTATTTAGCTACAAAAAAGAAGCGCCGGAGCCTTCTAATTTAGGGCTCCGGTGCGCTCCGACTAGAATTATGATTTATCCCAAAAACTAAGAAGTACCAGAGCCGGGCTCCCCCGGCGCAATTTTAAGCTCTGGTATACACAGAACAAAAACCACTTATTTATGCCTTTAAGTAGAACACATAAGTGCAGCTCTCATCCATGACGATATTTAGATTTCATAGCTCAGATTAGGAATGACTGGAATTATCAACACAGTGGCTGATGCTCTTTCTAGAGTCGATATAGATAAATTTTCAAATTTATGTTTTTTATATTCTGAAGCGTTTGTTGTAGAACAGGAAAACGAAATAAACCAGAATTACAACTATTGCAAGCAGCATATAACAGATTGTTACCGTTTTCGCGTTCTTATTCAAAACAATTTTTTTTTCATACTCAGTTCATTTTATTGAACATTGTTACATACTATTAAAAATTGGCAAAATATTGTAGCAACGACTTGTTGATGTCATGTAGAATAACGGTAATTTCTGGAATAATTTTACCTATTTGACTGATTTTTATTAAATTTTGAATTATTATTTCAAATGTTGCAATATGAATATTTAAAAATAAGAAATTTAGCAATTGTTACGACCATGATTAAGTAAATGTCAAACAATTATTTAAAGAAAAGTATATTATGATTAGTAAGCATACGCATTTTAAGTATTATTTTAAGTGTAAGCCGGTAGGAGGTATGTTGTTAAAACATTGTAGATATATGTATGTTAAAAACTAAGAAACCAAATACGTTTCGAAAGTTTAGTTCTGATGATCAATACTAGATGACACCACCAACAAAGAGATTTTTCTCCCATAGAAATTGCGTTAGGAATTCCGAACCTTTTTCCGGCATCGACCGCTTTATTTTTAATAATACAAACGCATACAAGTTTTCAGACACGAAATCGTAGATTCTAATTGCATGGAAGTTCGATTTTAATTAATGTGTTGGCTGCGGTTGATGTACTGATGCAAATTTTTTTAAATATTCCGCATAAAATTGTTTAGTTTAATTCTTAAATCAACTCCTTCAAAAATATTCACCCTGTTTCTTTTTCAGAAATTTATTGATCTGAGTAAAGCAAGAAGAGGGAAAAGTCGATAATATATATTGGTTTAATAATAATTTTTATTTTGGGAAAAATATTATTGATTTTTAAACCAGATAAATTAAGTTTACCACTTATTTATACCTTATATTTATTTATTTATTTATTGTATTTTCCCCTTATATTTATCTTATAAGATTTCTTCTTTGCTTCTACTTTATGTTATTAAACAATTAATTATCAGTTTTACTGATAATTTTTGTTGTTGTTTTTGTTGCTAATGCTCACTTGTTTGACCTATAGTCAGCCCAATCCCACGAAATTGTTCGTGGCAGGGAGCGCCAGTTTTACGTTTGCCGTTGGCAACAGCCTTGAATACCTTATAGGTGACAGTACGATTTAGCTCAATTCCGCCCATAATTTTGATGAAGAGCACCTCGGAAGGACGGGTCTGAGAGTTTCCCACCCTTCTTCCCCTACCATCATCCTCTCGAAAGGACTTTCGGCTCGCCGCATATTTAGAAGAGTGCCCCCATGCCGCACCGACATCCATTTTCTAACATCCATGCCTTCTTCGGGATTCGAACCCGGGTCTTTCGGCACAGCAGTCAGCGATGCTAACCACCATACCTAATTTTTTTTGTAATCAAAGTAACCTTGTTTATATTAATCAATGGCGAATGCTTATTCGGCTACCGATGCCCAGCCCACCTCTTGATTATCACTGGTCCTCTCTAAACTTTCACCTACTTTCAGCGGTTCAACACAGACTGCGTTGAGAACCATTGGGTTAAGCCAACCCCGTCTCAAAAAGGTGGAATATTATTAGGTTCCTCCACAGTAAAATGGTCACCACTTCTCTGGCACTTCGGAGTGGCCAGTGCTGAATAGGCAAATCTCCGACATACTATGATGGCTATATATGGTGGTTGACTATGATGACAAGAATCTGAAGAAACATTTTAAGAGCTTAATGATTTGGCATGCAATTTTATATTATTTCCATAACCATTAAAAACGCGCGAGAGTAATGCCCTAGAAAATCTACAAATATGATTAGTTAGTTACCAATGTGATATAAACCTAATTTAAATTTCTGAAGTTACAGATCTGATCAACTTTTATTTGCACTTGTCGAAATATAAATAGTCCCAATTATGAGTTTTTGTAATAAGAATAATCTCCTTTTTGGAGAGCATATTTAGATGTGAGCACTTTGTTTAATTGATAATTAGTAAGTTGATAAGTAGTAGTTGATAATTAGTAAGTCTAAGGAAAGAACCAGACTGACTGCTGAGCATCGATAATTCGTGCTGAAGATAGCTTCAGGTATCTTCCTTCTAAGATTACAAACTTATTAAAATTGAAGGAAGGCCTTCAGGTAGGCATTATAGTTGTAAACTGTAGCAAGGAATAAAGAAGTTCATAATTATTTACGTACAAATAAAATATGTATCTTTTTATGCGTGCTGAAAAAAAATTAATAAATAAAAGAAAGGGAGCAGGCTGTTATTATTTATGCTCTAGTTTTATCCCACTTGAAAGTACTTCATAATTTGTTTATTTTTAATTTAAGTTATGTAGTGATTAATTTAATACTTTAAAATTATTTGAAATAAATATCAGTTTGAAAATTTAATATTTAGCTGGCGATACATTTGAATTAGAAAGCGTAACCGACAGAAATTTCTTATAGATATTACCTATATATTTCAGACAGAAATTGGAGGTTTTCGTGGTTTTCCCCATGTGTAACGTATTATATACGAGCACGTTTCCCTTAGAAAGTGATTCACGAAGGCATCTCTTCCTTTAGGCAGATATTCCTCGAGGCTGTGCCGTAATCACATAAACCAAACCAAATCTTATAAGTAAATCATGTTTTATAATCTTTAACCATATTTTTGATCAATTATTATGTTAACTTTGAATTCTGTAGTAAATATCTGAGATCAGTTATGTATGATGTTTAAATCAGTTATAAACATAGGAGGTACACTGCGGTAAAAAAAAAAAAAAAAAAAAAAAAAAAAAAAAAAAAAACGAAAAATTGAGGAAATTTAAACTGCGTTTTTCATGTCTCGTGACTTGGGATATGTATTAGATTTATATATAACATTGTTCTAATATAGGTATTTTGACACAAAATCGAACTTTTTCTGAAATGACATGCCAACGTTTTTCCATATTTCGATTCTGGGACTCAAATCCTGCCTAAATATTAAATTTTGTAAAATCTAGTGCGAAAATTTGGTGAAATTCAAAAATTTTTCTTGGCATATTTTTTTCAGTTTGTGCCAAGAATAATTTACTTGGCGAACTTCCCTTTTTACATTGTTGCATGCTTGAACCGCACTTGATGTTATTATCGCTTCCAACAAATATGCCAAATTTCAAAACGCGCTAATATGCATATCATCGGAAATTTTGAATAAAAAACTCTAATTTTTTGAGAGATATAGAATTGTTCCTGCCCCTTTTTTTGTGCAGTGTACTTAGCATTTTCATCATAATTACAGTATATCCTCTTGCCTTATGAAAATACCTTTTTCCTATTTAAAAAGAAAAATAAAAGTGAACCCCGACCAACATCCATGCACTGACCGAAATAATTCCTTGTCTCGATCTACTTCAGTACCAATAAACCAAACCGGTTGGGGCCGTACAATTAACTGTCAGGCTCAGTTGTTCGCAAGAATTAGAAGAGAAATGTCTCCGGAAAGTCTTAGGAAGTATGTGTAAAGCGTAAAGTTATCATTCACTTATGGAAATTTATATTTACAGACCTGATTGACGTAGGTGACCAGGTGTTTAGTTGGTTGACCTCATTCCCTTGCAAGTATCCACGTCAGAGCAGTCTTAACACTTCTACAGGCGAAGGATATAAGTTTCGGCTCTGTTTCTCCCAATTCCTTGGGTAAATGACCTAAAAAATACACTAAAAGGACTCTTATTTACACCCAAAATCAAGATCTCATTTTGTGAAGTTCAAGGTTAGCGATTTAACCATGATATATTTGGTGAATTTGGCGAGGCGTTTTTCAACGACCAAGGTAAGACTTCTAAATTCGTACGGCATATTTCTGACGCGGCTGTAGATCTCATATAGCATGAGATCCCTCAGAAATTAACTTTTATTATAAGCACTTTATTTTATTTTAGGAAATATTACGATTTGTTTTATGATTGAATTCTAAAAATTCCTTTCTTTCCATTAATGGATTTATGCGTATTCAGTTAAAAGAATCTTATGTTGTTGTTTATTTATCTACTTTTATTCTTTCTTCCTTTTTTTTTAATGGCATCAGTTTTTAAATGTGGTGGAAGTTATATAACCAACACGCGTGTTTTTCTAAGCTAATTAAATAAAATTATTTTAAATGTATTTCTGAATTTTAAAATATAATTTTCTTTAATAAATTTAAAGAAATTAAATTAAATAACGTAATTTAATAATTTACATTTCATTAATTTAAAAAATTTTATTTTACATTTAAATACAGTGTGTAAAGATAATGGAACACGATACACGTAGTTTTTTTATGAATATGGCGGGTGGAGACGTACGTTATTCAAAATTTGGTGGCTCTAGGTACCGTCGTTTTTGCGAGAAACATACATACATTCATGAAGATTCTTCATTATTTAATTTCTTTAAATATAATACAGAGCTGTTATATTTGGTGGCAACAGTTTGAAAAGTGAACCGGCATTTAAAGTTTTCAACGCAAAATGCAAGAACGAAAGGGCTGAAAAAGATATATTATGGAATAATGATTTTCTTTTCGTTTTAGAAATAAAATATACCCGTCCCTGATATATAGTGAATACTTTTTAACATTTACTTTTAATTTTAACATTGGTAGGGGTTCTACAAAAACAAAAAATATACGTAGATTTATGGCTTCCTTGTGTCGACCCACAAAACTATACTTTTTATTTTATTTATACTTGTTTCGTTTGAAGGTCACTGATTTAAAAGAATGTGTATGACATAGTACATATTGATGCACGGAGTTCAGCAATGGTAGGCTACAGCTGAAACCGTACATATTTTATAATAATGTTGTTTCTCAAGAACTATATTCCTAATATGTATAGTTCAACTGAATGGGATGTTGTTACAAATGTAACCTAAACTAATCAAAACCATCTTATTTCTTAGTACATACGGTTCTTTAATCAATTCTTTAACTTTTCTGAATTATTATAATGTATTTATTTAAATAAATAAATCTGTAAACGCGCAGGCAGTAAGAAATGTTTGATTGTTCTAAAATTATGTGTATATATAAGATAAAAAGTAGGAAAGCAAACTTCTAATTTTAATTGGCATAAGTCCCATGTTTCTTCATTTTAAATCCGGTATTTCTCCTTTCTGTCCTAAAATTAGTTCCTATTTACAACATATTTATCTAACTGCGTCATTAGGTTATTTTGAAGCTGGAGACGTGAAATATGTACAATGCCCTCGCCGGGACCTAGACCTCTAGAATACGCGCCAAGTGTGCTACCGTTACACCACGAAGGCATGCAGAAAGCTGCAATGCAGGCATGTTATAGGCATTCAGAGAATAGGATTTCAATTGAAACTCAAACCTTTTTGACTATCTCTTACGTATTTTCTGAATGCATTGATACTTTCGCTTGCCTGACATCCGTTGAAACGCGCTGCTTGCTTCCATCATGCATTGCGGTATGATGAGTTAAGCTTCCAAGAAAGCGGGGAAGGTTTTCGCAGGGCAGAGAAATTTCCTTGAAGAGCGGATGTGTTTAAGGTCTATTGCCAATTGGTTCTAATTAAGCTTAATAACATTGTTATTAATTATGTATATATATATAATGTAAATAATATCTTAATTTAACAAATATTCTCTATTCCTATAAAGTATAATAATACAATAAAATTAAATATAAAATTAAAAATTTATAATAAAATAATATATAAAATAAAAATAAAAGCAAATATAAAATAAAAATTTAATTAAGAAATTTTAATTGCAAAAAAAAATAATAAATAAATAAATAAATAAAAATAATTACTATTGCTGGGAACTAATTTACAGTATCATTTAAATTCTAAGAGTATATGTAAATTAATTGCACCTATCTAAAACCATGAAAAAATATATTATTCCAAAAAAATTAAATTTATTATTCCAAAAAATTGCTTAAGTGAATAATTGTTGAACATGCAGGAGACTTATCAAGGGGAAGTTGCCTCCTAACCTAACTCTTCAATTACTCAATTCGTGTTTCGTCATATGTGTGTACATATTATTTAACTAAAATATATATATATGTGTGTGTCTGTGTATAAAATATGAACCAGTTATCGAATTAGACCCAATCCGCAATAGACCTTTAAAATTCATAATTTTAATTAAAGACATCTCCTCTTCAAAGATACGTATATATATATATATATGTGTGTGTAAATTAATTATATATATATATATATATAAATCAAAGTAAGGCATATTTTAAACGTTAGAATTTTAAAGTGCGACAAATGATTTAAGCAGAAATATAAAAACAAAGAAGTTGTAAATGGTAGATTAGCCTAATTCGAACCTCATTATGGGTCTTCAGGGAAAATTATTTTTAATGATTATCGAATCAAGCTAACTCCATAATATATAGATATATATATATGCAAAATAAAAATATGTAAATCAAAATTATAATTTATATACTACTGATCCTATACAAAATTATAATTTATATACTATATATATGTAAGATATAACAAAATACGATGGCCGCTTTAAAAAATAATTGGCGACTTCAAAATTAGCATTCTAAATTTGGTGCTCTCGCACCCTAAATTCATCTGTTCTCCCAAATTCGAGATCATTCCAAATTACATAACACTGCTTGGAAAAGGTAACTAAAACTAATATCGTCCAAGCATAGCTTAGTCAATGTTAGTTTTAGTTCCCCCTTTTTTTTTCCTGACTCCTGCCATGCAAACAGCTCCGCACCGCTTATGCTTCCCTGCTTGAAATGACGTCGTAGTTTTTTTATCTGTGTGTATAAAAGATATTTGTATTCAACTATGATCGAAAACTAATTTGTCTGACAAAGAAATAAGTTTTGATGCGCCTAAAAATAAAGATGGTGATTCCCCGAAATTATTTTAGCCAACGCCTTATTCCTGCCTTATCCACCCAGCCATGTCTACAGCCAGAAGTTAAAAGTACCGGATTCATGACTGCGCACTTAGTATATTACATACACACACACATATATAAACTTTATATACATACTAAATTATAATTTATGTACCTTAATTCCCCCTTTCTATTCTAAAAACTGTAATGCCTTTTCTGGACTTCGTCATTTCTACATCAGTCCGTATCATATGAATTGCGTAATGCTGATGACATAGTTAATTCGGAACCTGAATTCAAAATTTGGAGAACTGAAATTTTCTCTTAATAAGCAACATAAACCGAAACCTCCTCTTGGTGAGTTTCTATATTGGATAACTGCGCATCTCTTGCTTCAGCTTGTAGAAACATTAGGCATTTTTTGAAAGCAGGCAAGATGAAAAATGAGCTATCACCTTCGCCGGGAATCGAACCACGGACCTCTGGAATACTGGCCCAGCGTGCAAAATCACTACCCACGAAGGCACGCTAGGAAGGCGGGAGAAATACCTTATATACTCCCCTTTTAAAGGACGACTGGGGTTTTTAGGGGACCCGATCGCCAAATCCTGGTTGTGGAGAATTATCATCCAACACCCTTTTAGTTCGGGCGCCACTGTAGAGACATTAAGATTTTTGTTCATTCGCCACTGTAGATACATTAGGATTTTTGTTCATTCGCCACTGTAGAGACATTAGGCAAGATATGGTCACTTTACTTAACCTGTTCCGCCAAACTAAATTAATGGCACTACAGGCTTAGGAAATCATCCTAGTCGTTGCTAGCGATCTGACTGTTAGGCCGCTTTTCTCTAAATTTTTCATTAATCTTTAGTTTCCTGGATATAATTATTTTCATTTCACCACTCAATTATTTTCATTCACTCTAAGATGCCCTTGTTGCAGTAATAGTCCGTGAGCAGTCTATTCACAGGATATGTGATGTAGTCGGAAGGAAAGAACTGCTGTCGAAGGTGCTCTGTCAGAGGGTAGGAGAGCAGGTAATGAAGTGCGTCTGCGTCTGCCCTGCGAAAACCGCAAGAACAGTTGACGTCCCGTATGAGGAATCGTCTGTAATACGCTGGGAATTTCCCGTGGTTGATACAGGCCTGGAGGAAGAGTCGGTTGCATTTGAGCTTCTTGAGAGTAGGTATTGGGAAGATGTAAGTAAATCTTTCTGTCTTTTCTTCCTGCCGTCGTGATGACCCTGTCTCTTGAAATGTTGTCTTGAGGAGCCTTTTTGCAACTTCTGCGGGAAGCGGAACTTCCTTGTCAATTTCTGGTTTGGGAGCTGCAGTCTTAGCTAGTTCATCCGCTCGTTCGTTGCCTTTCTGCCCGGTGTGTCCTTTTATCCAGCTGATCTTCAAAGGGATGGGGAAGCATAACGTCAAGAGGATCTCTCTAAGTGCTGCCGCGTGTGGATGTTTTGGAGGAAAGGAATTCAGCGCATTCAGAACGCTCATGCTATCTGTGAAGAATGAAGTGTGAGCTGCTGGTTGCATACCTAACCACAGGCAAGATGAAAAATTAGCAACGCCTTCGCCGGGAATCGAACCGCGGACCTCTGGAATACCGGCCCAGTGGGCTAGAACCACTACACCAAGAAGGCATGTTAGGAAGGCGGGAGAAATACCTTATAAGCTGTCATCCTGTTGCAAACGCTACTTCGCTTCTTAGCCTCTCAGCTGTTGTCCTTTGTTTTAAAAATATAATCTGTATATTGTGGGGGTCATAGTGCACCCACAGTGATGATGTGAAATGAAACAAATACGTAGCGTATTCTGAAACTAAGTACCGTTACATTCTAGCGCCGTCGCAGCGCTGTGGTAGGCGTCCCGCGCATGCGCACTAGTCTTTCTTGTTCACTGACTTTCAATTGTCGCCATTTTGATTGCTCTATG